TATCTCGGACTAGGGACTTCTGAATTCGATTTCGGGCATACGCCCAAGTCCCAAATCAGGATACGAACCCACCGGAACCGCCAAAATACGAATCCGGGTCAGTTTTCTCAAAACGTTGATCGAAGTCAACTCAAATAAAATTTTTAGGCAAAATTCTTATTTTTATCAGTTTTTAACATAAAAGCTTCCCGAAAACACACCCGAACTGCGTACGTAAATTGAGAAGGGATAAAAATGAGGTGTTTAAAGCTTAAAGCGCATAATTGGGTTCTAAAACATAAGATGACCTTTCGGGTCATCACATATTAGATCTATCTGCTATTGTCGGTTCGTTGCCGCTACCGTCACCACCACCGCCTCCTCCTTTTTTCCATATTCAGCTATAACCAATATCACCACCATTTTTTTCTTCAAATTTGCCCAGTACCATCAATATATCCTCCTCATTTTTGTTCTTTATATTCACCCGCCACCACTATTAATACCATCATGTCATCTTTCTTCCTTTTCGAATCCGACCATCACTATCAGTACATCCTCCTTTTTTTCCAGATTTGGAAGCCATCAATTTCCCCTCTATGAATGTATTTGTCTTGATCAATACAAATCCTAATTTTACTCTTTTTCTCACTTACCTATCGCTTGCTCAATGTCATTTATTTCATTAACTTTTTTTTTCTAATGTAAGTGTTTCATATATAGAAGCATCCTATAATTACCGTTTTTTTTTAAATATTTTTAACTTTTTATTTAAAATTCAAGGGATACTAATAAGCCAATATGAACTTCATTATGACTTTATTGTTTATTCATATACTCATTATTATTTTTAATATGAATTTTACAACGACTGACCTGAGTATAATATACGTGCAACTTACGTGTCCAATGATCTTGACTCAGATAAATTGAGACTAATTAGTTAGATTTTTATTCTTATTAATAAATCTTAAAAGTGGCAAGGTGATAATTGTGTCCCTATCTTAAGAGTCACCTTAATTTTTTATAGTTTGCTTTTTTTTTTATCATCGATATACTTTTCATTAAAAGGGTTAATACAATATTTTTCATGCATTAATCTTTGGTTCGTGTAGCTTATTATATAGAATTTACAATGTTAACCATTTTATGCGCTAGACCGTAACAGATAAGTTGCAGAAATTTAATTTGATGGAAGTTTGGTCTCAGTTAATTAATGCTAACTTGATTTGAAATTGAAACGTAAATGATCATGATTAATGACATGAAGCGGTAACTTTCATTTTCTTTTCTAGAAAAGCAAAAAAAAGAAACTCAATTTATAGCTTGTGACATCATCTCTTGTGGGCATGCCGCGTTACTTTTTTTTACAAGACGCGTTACACGAGTCACGTTTTTTGGTTTCTTTCCTTTCGGATTATCTTTAAAGATATTTAAGGCTATTGTGAAATGTTCATCAATCTTCTTTCCAAATGGGTTTAAAAAAATATTTTACTTGCATTAACTTTTGGTTCGCGAAGTTTATTGTATAGCATTTACACTGTTTAATGCACGTGCAACATACGTGCGACATACGTGTCGACCATTATAACATAATTTAGGGCATCGATTGTGTTGGCATCTTTTTTATTTCTTGCTCTAGTATTTATTGTATAACTGGTTCTTCTAAAAAATGTATTTTCTTGCTCAATAGCATTTGATTAACAATAAGATAGAATGGGTTTTCTTTGTTTTCTTTCTCGATATAAATATTCTCGATCTCTATAATATTAACCATAATAGATATTCAATTTTCTCTCCTAGCAAGTGTAAATAGTAATATGCGACTTAGATAAATTGAGAAGCTCAATTACTTTCATATAGTAAGTTTTCAAAATGACAAGTTAATTATCAATTTTCTTATGGACAAATCCTTAAATCAGAACAAGTGAAGTCTATTATGATATCTTTATAATTTTTTAAGATATTCCACACAACAGTTATTACCGTGAAACAAAATATCGAAAAATTGAGTTAAGTTAATGTCTAAATTATAAATTTTATTTAATAAAAAATATAAATTTCTTGCCCAAAATCAGCAACTTCTTCTTCTTCTAGCCACCATCTCCTCCGCCTATTCTTCAGATCTGGCCAAAATTACTATCACTACTACCTTCTGCTTCTTCAGATTCGACCATCACCATCAGCTCTCCTCCTCATCATCATCACATCATCAGCATCTATTAGATCTATCCGTTATTGCCGGTATCATTGTTGCTACTGTCACAACTTTCACCTCCTCCTTTTTTCAGATTCAACCATAACCACCATGAATACCACTTTCTTCTTCAAATTCGCCCACTACCACCAACACCTCCTCCTCATTTTTGTTTTTTAGATTCTGTTGCCACCATCATTACTACCACCGTGTCATCTTTTTTCTTCTTCTTCTTCTTCTTCTTCTTCTTCTTCTTCTTCTTCTTCTTCTTCTTTTTCTTCTTCGGATCTGACCACGACTGCCAATATATTTTTCTCCTTTTTCTTCAGATTTGGAAACCATCACAATCCCACTCTATGAATGTATTTATTTTGATCGATATAAATCATACGTTTATCCCCTTTTCCATTTACCTACCGCTTATTCATTTATTACGTCATTTACACTATTAATTTCTTTTGCTTCTAATGCAAGTTTTTCCTTTATAGACGTCTCCTCTAATGGCCACTTTTTCTACATTTTTAACTCTTTTTTTACGTTTTTAACTCCTTATTCAGATTCAAGAGATGATAATAAGACAATATAAATATCATCATGACTATTATTTATTATAAACTCTTTATTATTTTTAATATAAACTTCACAACGATTGACTTGAATGTAAAATACGTGCAACTTATGTGTCAAATGAATCTCGACTCAGATAAATCGAGAAACTCATTAGTTTGATTTTTTATTCTTGTTAGCTAAACTTAAAACTGTCTAAGTTGGCAATGTTGTCGCTATCCCGATGGTCACTCTATTTTTTTTTCCTTGATTACATATTATCGATTTACTTACCATTAAAAAGGTTAAAAATTTATTTTACAAGCATAATCTTTGATTCGTGTAGTTTATCGTACAATATTTACACCATCAAATGTACGTGCAACATAAGTGTCAATTATTATAACATAGTTTTTTTTGACAAATTCTCTTCTAATAGACGCATTTTCCTGCTCATTAGCAGTTAATTAATGTTAAGATAGATTTATTTTTTTTATTTTTTTTGCTTTCTCAATATAAATGTTCTCGATCTCTATAACACCAATCAGAATAAATATTCAATTTGCTCTATTACAATTGTAAGCAGTAATTTGCGACTTAGATGAACTAACAAACTCAATTAGTTTAAAATTCTTGATAGTAAGTCTCAAACAAAAAGTTAATTACCAATTTTTTTGACCAATTCTTCCATCAAAACAAGAGAAGAAACAATCAATATACAATCTTCTATGATATTACACGTGGTAGTTATTACTTAAAATTGCTTAAATTTATACCCTAAATTATATATTTCACTTACTGAAAAATGTATAGTTCTTGCCAAACAAAATTATTTCTCAATCAGTTTCTTCTTCTTCTTCTCCTTCTCCTTTAGTCACCAGCTCCCCCTCCTTTCTTCTTCTTCTACTTCTTCTTCAGATCCGGCCACAACCATCAAGTACATTCTCTTCATTCTTCTCCAGATTCGGACACCAGTATTTTTTCTCCTCAATGACTGTATCTGTTTTGATCAATACAAATCATACTTTTACTCTTTTTTTCATTCACCTACCACTTACTCATTTATGTATGAGTTTTTCTTATTTCTTATGTAAATATTTTCTATATAAACGTCTATTCNCAAAGGATGCTAACAAGAAAACAAGCCAACAAAAGGACTTTGCTTCTTATTCATATACTATTTATTATTTTTTAATATGAACTTCATAACAACTGACTTAAATGTAATGTACGTGCAACTTACGTGTCCAACGAATCTTGACTCGAAGAAATCGAGAAACTAATTACAGTTAGTTAGATTTGTTTATTCTTGTTAGCAAATCCTAAAAGGTGCAAGTTGACAATTTTGAGCCCTATCTCGAAAGTCACTCTACTTTTTCTTAGTTTGCCCTTCTTTTTTTCCTTTATTACATATCATCGATTTACTTTTCATTGAAAGGGTTAAAAAATTATTTTACATGCATTAATATTTGGTTCGTGTAGTTTATTGTATAGCATTTACACCATTAATTAAAGTGTACGTACAACATATATGTCAATCATTATGACATCATCCATTGGCATCATTTTTATTTCTTATTCAAGTGTTTATTGTATAACTGTCTTTTCTAATAAACATGTTTTTTTGCTCATTATAGAAGAGTTCTCTTTGTTTGCTATCTCAATATAAATAATGTTCTCAATCTCTATAACGTCAATTAGAATAAATATTTAATATGCTAGCTAACGCACATTGCGAAGATATTTTATATTACAGGCTGGGAGATCTTTTTACGCATACTTTCTAGAGAAGTCTTATTCATAATTTTCTACAATCTCCTTATACCAAAGTAGAATAAATCCGTGAATTATGATGCTTCTCACAAAGTACTCCCTCATAATCATACCAAAGTAAAACTCAATTCTATTCTCACATTAATCTGTCCCATTTTCCAAAATTTCCACCTGTTATGCAGAAAGAAGGTCAAATGGCAAGAAAATCGCCCAAGGAAGCATTTGAATTATTTTACACCATATTCCAAAGGAAAAAGAAAACTTTACTCTTATGTTCTATTTTGTGCTCATCATATATAACAATGCGAGTTTTTGGCCAATATTGTCCCTTATCTTTGAGGGTAGGTATATTTTAATCCCTCAAATATAACTTTGAGCATATTTAGTCCCCTAAGTATGCTAAAGTGGAGCACCTTTAGTCTCAATGATAGAATTTGTCCAAAGATATAATAAAAGACAATCAAATCTTTTAAGAAAATTAAAAGATAGCAAGTTGTGACTCCACTTAGATTTCAAAAGCAGCAATTTTACATTTAGCAATAGACTTTCAGGTCTTACCAAAAAGCAGACAAGCAGAACCTTACAGTTGCAGAGCCAAATCAAAGGTAAGTTCTATTTTGTATTATACATAAATCTCATACTTTTGATGAGCTATATATATATATATATATTTGGCAGTCTTTTTCCATGGAAACAACCACTGATGCATTTACTTGACTATTTTCCCATAGTACCAATGAAGGGGGCGTCAAAATACAAACTTTGTATTGGAGATCAGCCTGTAAGGTTTCAAACAATTTGATATCATATCAGACCAAGCAAACTTGCAGCAGTAAGTGTAGATGCTATAAGAAATTGGAAGCCTTAATCATATACATGCTTTAAACCTGGTAATCACCAACAGTAAATTGAACAATTTGTTTAATTTTTGAACTTCTTAATTTCTCGCTTGCTCCATCAGACAAACTAGCAGCATATCCCTTGGTCTAAATTACATACTCATGATGTAAACTACATATTCAACAAGAAAGAAGTAGAGAAGGAAGACATCTATCAGTTGAGAATTATTCTACTAGAAGTAATAACATGGTAGATCAATGAACTCATAAAATGAAACAGAAGACCTGAAGCTTCAGGTAACAACGATAAGGCCCTCCATTACTTGAACACTAGAATATCATTTTTGTGCTTAATCAAATTGGTCGTCTTGTGCCATCCAGGTGGAGAGCTATAGTAGAATCACCATCAAAGCAAAGATTCGTGTATTTGGGACACCCTTTTTCCCAATGATACATGCTTTTACGTATGCTTATTTCTTGCAAAAGAACCAGTGCATTTGATAGAAAATCAGAAAATTAGTTTAACTTAATAATGGTGTTTACTGACTCAGCAAGATTTATTCATGGAAGCTTTTAATAAATCTTGAATCTGCTTTGCAAAAATTGCCACGAACCAAGAATCTATAACTGAGATCATGAGCAATGTTACTCAAGCTCTACTGGTTTGCTATGTAATTGTAAAGCCATAATCTTAAACGTAGTGGTGATATAGCAAACGAAGACAAACCTCCACATAAAAATGTAAATAGATTCAATTTGGTTACAACAATTTTGAATTTTTTGTTATAATCGAAGCAAAACATGAATGACTAAACTTGTACTGGGGAAGACTTCAAGCAAACAACTTAAAATTTCACAGTACAAGCAAAGTAGTTCACGACTATTATAAATAATTTGGAAATATTTTCATAACCAATGTGGGCAGATAAATTGTTTTTACAGTTTCCTGCATATATGGCCATATTTTAGGAAAGAAAGGGGTCCAAAAATATTACCCTACTGTTGGCTGGAACTTGAGATTGGTATGTTAAGGCACACATCAGAATAAAAAATCTCAGCCTCTGGAGATGCACGCGGGAAACTCGTCAACTTTGTGGTGATATTCCTTTCTTCGCAGAAATGAAAGTCTTCCACTGGCATAATGATCATCTTTTCCAAAGATGGAGTGCGAGCAAACAACAACTTTATGAAAAGCAGTTCAGTTTTTGAACCATTAAATATGTATGACCACGCGTTTGAGCTTGTTGAGCGGTCGGTCCAAGCAGGCTGGTGTATTCAAATATTTTGAAACTGCTTCAGCATTGTTGCTGGTAAAACGGACCTAATGGTGTAAAATAAATAGAAGTTATTTGAGCTTCTAAGGTTCACATATATGAAGTTGCAAAAATGAACCAAATCATACATATATCTAGTGTATGACCACATAAGTTTCATTACTTACCCAAATATCAAGTTCTCTCAAATTGGGACACTCTTAATTAACTGTAGAGCGCCAGAAGTTGGACTCAATTTGTCCAAGTCCACAAAGAATGATAGATGCCACAAGCGGTTGGGTATAAAAGGAGGCATCTTAGGAACCATATCTGCAGCACAAAGCTTTGGAGAATAAACAATAAGAATCACATGAGCACGGTCAATATAAGATATACAAGTAAATAAAATGTCTGTTTCTTACCTCAAGGAAAAATGAATCCAAATTAAGTTTCTCAACTGTAGGTGCCAAGCTAAAAAGAAGCTTTTCCAAAGTTGATCTTTCATCAGGAATCAGATTATCCACCACTTTGTTAAATCTAAGGTTTAACACTCTCAATTTTGTGCAGTTCATAAAGCAATTTAGCACGAGATAGTGAACATCATAAACACTCAATAACTCCAACAATGGTGAAACAATGTTCAGGTATTCAGTACCATCACAGTGTAACAAGTCCAAATAGACAAGACGGGGGACTTTGATAACACAACACTCTGTGGTTGTGGTTGGCATAATGGTTACTCTTTCCAGGAGGAAGGTTTCAAGATTTTGGAAAGCAAAGAAAAGAATTAGGTGGTTTGAAGACACCATTGCTTAGGCACAAAGATGTCAGGGTTGAACAACTAAATACATAAGATGGCAGTTTATAAGTACTATTATATGGCAGGAAAAGAGATAGCTTCTTGACACCATTTCTGGTGACATAAAGCATCCATCTATCTATATCTGCATATGAAGTCGAAAGTGCTACTGGAATTTTAAGTTCAAACTTCAGAATGTCTCCAAGATGGAGTAAGAGAATCTCATCTACTGTTTGTTTGAAGAAAGCTGGAGTCTGTACTGCTAAGCTATCAAAGAAGTCATAGAGCAGCAGACTTGGAACCATGGACCAAATAAATCTCTATTTTCCGGACAAGACACGAGTTCTTGCTCCATCTTTAGGTGGCAAGAGCTCAACGATACTAGCTAAAATGTGTCTTGGTAGATCACTGATTCTATCTTGTTTGCCCCCTTCAACATCAGCTCTGTGTCTATCTGTTAGAAGAACTTAAGCTTAGAATGTAGTATCCAAAAAAAAAAAGATGGAGAGAGTTATATCGTATACCTTGAGTACTCATGCTGATTCTTACGAGGACAGAGCAGAAAGTGTCTTTTTCTTCTACTATTTGCTTTTCAACTTGCCCTAATCTGTACAACAAAGAGGCCCAATTCACGATCCTCGACATTAATCGAACAGCTAAAGAGTATGTAAAATAATAAGAGTGAAAGACTTCTTTCTGGCCAAAAGTGCTTTTTTTTGTTGTTGCGAAGTATACTTTTTTCTAAAGTTAAGGTGTTTGGCTAAGCTTTTAGAAGGAAAAAAGTTTTTTTGAGTGGAAGCAAAAACAACTTTTGACTTTTGAGAAGCAGAAAAAAGTAGTTTCTCCTTAAAATAATTTTTGAAAAAAATACACTTAAAAGCACTTTATAAAAAATTGACGAAACACTAACTACTGCTCAAAACTATTTTTTCAAATTAGGCTTCTCTGAGAAAAGCGGTTTTAAAATTTTAGAAGCTTGGCCAAACATGCTACTAGTGGGGAAATGTGGAGAGCTTTGAATATGAATTTTACCAGAGATTAAGTTCAGTTAGAATCCTAGTATTCAGAGCATCAAGTGTCTTTTTCTTCTGCTATTTCCCTTTCCAGAGGAGACAGTGTTGAGGTGTAATTTCAGTGAAGGTGCTAAGTTATAGCCTCAATTAGGGGAACTAGATGCTAATCTCAACTTGCCCTAATCTGAACAACAAAGACCCCCAATTCACCATCCGCTAGCTATTGTTCACAATGGGGAATGATACATTTTTTTTAAAAAGAAAAAACGGCTAGTATTCAACAGGGGAGCAAGCTTCCTTTGACATTAACCAAACAGCTAAAGACGGGAGTATGTAAAATAATCAGAGTTAAAGACTTACTGAGGAAATGTGGAGAGATTTGAGTTTGAAATTTACCAAAGATTGATGATTCCAGGAGGCAAGCAAGCAACCAGAGCATAGTTCGGACAAGTTTGAACGACTGAAAGAGTTTCTAAGAATTTCCAGAAGTTGGGCCAGTATATGGGCCGGCTACAATCATAATTTGGGCTACAGACTTTATTATTCTTTGTTGGGTCTGTAGGCCCAGGTTTGAGCGTTTCTATTTAGAGGAATTTTCAGAAATGACTATTGTTTAGTGAATATTAACTTCCTATAGCTACCATATACATAATTACTCTCCGTAGCTACTTTTCAATTGTTATGGTAATGTATTCGATTATTCGAGCTACTGTATTCATGAATACAGTAGCAAAAATCGGCTAAAAAATAGGGCAGTCCAGCTGTCAGCCGTTGTATTCACATGTATTCGTACCATGTATTCATGAATACAACGTAATAATAGGTCTCTCCATTTGTTTAATAATGAAAATCTGCTAATTTAATAGGATACACTCCTAATATAACTCACCTAAATCAATTATAACACACAACATTATCAATCCAATTACAGAGAAGATTTATCAGACACTAAACACCAAAAAAACAGAGCATTCTTCATAGTTTTGGTCCCTCTTTTTTTTCTGATACAGTTCGAGTTTTTTTTTTCTAACATTGTTAGAGGTTCATAATAAACCTAGTGTTTGTATTCGATTTTCTGTATATGAATACATCATGTATTTATGCCGGATACAACCTGCAATAGTAACTTACTGCCTGCATATTTCATAATAAACCTAGTGCTTGTATTATGTTGTATCTAACAGTTGTGTTCAATGTAATCAAGTTTATTTTTGTATTCATTATATTTTATTTATTCCTAATACATGGTATTACTGCGTTATTGAGTATATTTTATCGGTTGTATTCATTGATTTTCTATTTGTATTGAGAGTATTTTATTGTATTTCACTGTATTGTTATTTTAAATACAGATGGATACAGTTAGGTTGAAAATACAGATAAATACAGTTAGATTGAATGCATAACTAATCGATGAATAACATCAAAATGATAGAACTAACAATGTATTTAAAAATATTGTTGTATGAACTCAAATACATATAAATACATCTAAATACAACAATCAAAAATCAATGTACAAAATAAAAATTAGTGTATGCCTTATCGAATACATATAAATACATCTAAATACAAGAAGAGAAAATCACTGTACAAACTAAAAATTAATGTATTCGGACTCAAATACATATAAATACATCTACAATTAGGGTCATTGCGTATTTTTGTTCTCACTTCAATGGTTGCTGATGAACCTGCAAATACAGGAACCTCTTGAGTGATTTGCAAATCGAAAGATGGCCATTCGAATTTGAGTGCTTTAGTGGGTATTCTGCAGAAACCCTAACAAAGCTTTTATAGTATCAAAAGATGGCCCTTCGAAATTGAGTGCTTTAGTGGATATTCTGTAGAAAACCTAACAATGGTGAATATTTTAAAAACAACTATTGAAGAGAAAAAGAAGAAGCTTTAACCGGTCAAAAATCCAAAAACTTTAACACTTACCACAACTTTTTGGAGCAAAAAATATTGAAAATTGAGGGAAACAATGGAGCTGATAAAGGAGAGAGCTGGGGAGAGAAATTTGGAGCAAAAAATATTGAAAACGGCCATGGCAGCTACTAGGTCTTCATGCGAGAGGAGAGAGGAGAGAGAGACCGTAGAGAGAAAAATAAGATGCTATGCGGTGATTTTTGGAGAATAAACTGAAAGAATGAGAGAGAAAAATATTAGACAGCGTATTTAATGGCTTAACGGTAGGAAGTGACTATAAATACATATTTTGCTATAAAATCTACAAGGTAACTATAGAAAATAATAATTTAAAAGGGTTTTTATTTACAATAAATAGGGTGTAAAGTTTTGCTATATGAGATAAAATTTCTTCTATTTATCACTTTCTCTTTTGGGAAACTACCGGCTATGTCCATTTATAAGTAGCTTAATATCAAAATTGACTAATTCATAAAACATTACTAATATTAGCCATTTAGCTATTTGTAGCCAAAAAAAGGTCAAATTTTTGCTTTCGTTTGAGTGGTGTTATTAGAATAGCTTGGATACATCTTAAGGAGTTTGAATCTCAGTTTTGGGATGATTTGGCGGAGTTTTGAGGTGGTTTGAATTGAAAATTCGAAGTAGACGATGAAACATGACAAATATGATATGTGTATATGTGTATCATTTGTGTATCACATATGCATCATATTTGTATCAAATATATATCACATGTATACCTGTGTACGTGATACATGTGTGATACATGTGTCGCTGAAGAATTTTTTGAACTCTATTTTAACTACGAATATTGATACCAAATCAGTCCAAATCACCTTCAATCTTCCTCAAAATTTGTATATTGACTCATCTATATGTTTTTAATGAATTTCAACCATACCCATTGAAAAAGGTCCTTTTTTTGTTTAGATTTTTAGTATCTTATATATATATATATATATATATATATATATATTTGTATCTCATCACCTTGTTTGCTACCTTATCCATGAAATTTTCTTTCCGTCTAATGTTGCTGATCAGGCTTAAAAATATGGAAGGAGATTTTTGCGTGTGATTTAGAGAAAGAACCTTATTTATTTGGATTTTTTAATTATTATATGTGCTAATCTAATTTTGATAAGTTTATGATTAATGACTAGAGATTGGTAAGTTGGAACTTATTTAGGACATTTTTGTAAGATTCCCTTCAAAAAATTCTAGCTTGAAGACTAATAAGTTGCAATATCATCCTTGCATGTATTGTCAATTAGTTAATCAGAAAAGATCATATTTCACCTACGATGTCAATCAGAAAAGATCTTCAATTTGATTAGCCTAGAAATTAACGAGAAAATTTTATTATAATCAACATTGCATGTATATTAATTTAGTCACCTCCAGTCCTATTAACTACCCATTATTCCACTCTTAACAAAATACATTTGTACTCCCCAAATACAATGGCTAGATATGCACATATGATCACTGCCAAATTGTAAATGACACGATGAGAGTGCATCATTTTTGCATACTTTCCAAGAGTAAATTAACGTCGAAAACTTTCTGGAAAAGATCTGTGATATATAGCACTGCTCACAAGTACTCTCTCATCATTCACAACCTTCTAGCTCGTCGACACGGTTTGAGTAATACTATAAAGGGGCAAACTCATCTCATGACATGAGATGCAGAGGGTTCGTCCAACTTCCAGTATCTGTTGAAAAGCCATAACGAGTCTGCTTCAACAGCATATCCATCATCGTTACGATGCCAACCAAAATAGGCATGAGTTCTGTTCTTGATATCCAGTATCCCATGACCGAAGCTTGCTTCCCGATAGGCAGAATACCTTGGCTGTGGTTGTGTCATCCTGCAGCAAATGAAGGCAACCAAGAAATAGGTTCATGAAGTATCAGTGGTTATCAATCTTAAACTATTCATATTTGACTAGCTAAAGAATGTTCTTGTATTTGGAGCATACTCTGTAGCTAATCCCTCTTGATTTCCTCCATCTCCAATGGTAATATACACGGGGGCAGACTCGTCCCTGACAGGACTGCACTTCCTATTTATGATGTTGTAAGCAACGTTTGATACCCGCTCCTGAGACCAGATATACCAACGACATTAGTTAATCAGAGACTTAGGGAAGCTGTTAAATTTTAGACCATGATTACATGTATGGCATTCGGAAACTTACTGATCGTTCATAGGCATGAACATGACCAGCGAAGACAACATCCACCTTGTAATTCACAAACCATGGTTCATACATGACTCGCATTGTTTCCCCTTCCATATAATGATGGACATAACTACTATACATTGGACAATGCATGAGTATAATGAGCCATGGTGTCTCACTCCTGTTAACTTTAGGCAACTCATTCTTTAACCATTTCCATTGAGGAGTGTATGTACCTAAAAAGAAAGAAACCAGGAGAAATGAAAATTGACCACTGTCCACAAAAGTAAACTGATACTATTAGAATTTAGCCGCAAGTTCTTTAACACAGCAGTGTCCCTTGAATACTTCATTTGAAGATCTGCTCGAATATCCAGCTTACTTGCTTATCCAACTGGTGATTAACCCTGAATAACATAGGTATCTGAAATCGTATTTTCCTTAATCCCATAAATCTTGGACAGTACAGTCACATAATCTTCTTTTCTCTTGTTACCATCAATCATAAGATCTCAGTAATCGAGTATTAAGCATTTACTTTCCTAATATTGTTTAGTTGAGACTATCTTCTCTATAGCTTCATCAAATTATCAAGTAATGCATGGGAAGTACATTCTATGCGTTTATCATGTTAGAAACTACATAGTTTTTATACCATGCCAAATTCTTACCAAAAGCTGAATAAGAAGACATGACAATAATATAGGCTGAAGCTCTCTTTATAGAGTACCAAAGCGGAGAAGTGCTGTCTGATACTCTGTAAGGCGTAGAAAATCGGTGCTTGTAAGGTACGAAAGGTTTAGATTCTCCCTGCAAGAAAATGACTATAGCATTACAAAGTTATCACTAAGAACAAGTGTGAAGAAGATAAGTCAGTTATCTGTGTTCCTATAAAGTAAGATATTTTACATTTTGTGTTTTCTCCTCTAAGCAATTCTCACTTAAGTCCTCTAAGCTAAACCATTTTGGCAAAAGATTTTGAAAGACATGTTTAGAAACTGTCATCATCCAGAATAGTTATGAATAAGATGCTTACAATTTCAGGAACAAAATCAAGTTCATGATTTCCGGCAGTCCAAATCCAAGGTTGATATGCTGCACTTCTCTCGATAAATCTCCCCCATGTGTCCCATCGTATGTTGTTGTGAAACGGATAATTATCAGCATAAGAGAGGTCACCGACAAAGAGCATCGCCTGGCCCTTTAGAGGGTTCAACTCATAATGAGTCAGTGTGTTATTGGAGTCGTAGGTCTGACCAAGATCCCCTGTTCAATAAACAGAACAAGTCTAAAGACTAAACTAATGTAAGTCCAAGCTACATGCTCTTAAATGAAAGATATATGACATCGCCATCTCGAGGGACTTGACCCTATCGAAGTGATTTAAGAGAAAAAAATGTAAGCAGTCATTGGGACATTACCGATGAGACCAAATGTATAAGGAACATCAGGTCCAGGTTTTGGAGGAGTTACAAACCAAAACTTTCTAGTTGTATTTTCTAACCCCACTTCATAATAGTACTTTGTATCAAACTGCAACAAGAACAAAATATAGTTTTCTTAAGCATATATGATTATCTAGCACGAAAGAGGGTGAGCCAAAACCATGCACTTTAAGCTGTATTTGAGATCAACATGACCATATAGAACTATACCGTACCTCCAGATCCTTGATGGTGCAGTGATGTATATATCCGGAAGTGTAATTGTAATACCTGTAGCTAACAACAAAGCCCTCAGCAGAGCTTTTAACATTGCTATTTTCGGCCCAATAGAGAACTGAATTTGAGCCAGGTTCATCAGGTGTGGTCCAAGACACAATTACACCCTTTCCTTCGTGATCCCCTTGTGTTATGTAAACCTTCAAGATTAACATTCATTTCACCCGCTGAGCAAAACTAAAGTACACAAGGTGGCACCATAGTAAAGCAACGCCAATAATATCCGATATAAATGACAGCAGAAAAGTACTATCCCCTCCGTTTCAAAAAGATTGTCCAAATTTGACTTGGCACCAACTTTAATAAAGAAGGGAATACTTTTGAAATATGTGGTCTTAGATAAGTCGTAACATTTGTGATATTTACAGAAAGTATAGTCCTAAAGGTCTATTTTCCAACAAATTAAGCGAACTTGTTGCAGTTTAAACATTCATATGAATTTTTGTTGCGCGGCTTTTATTCGAATTCAGCAAAACTTTGATTGTTGACATATGTTAGCTAAATAAAGAATTTTGTTATAATTTAGGAACTAAAAAGACAGAAACTTGGAAATAGGAATGAACAATTTAATCAAATTATTACAATCATTAATTTAATCTTTATCGGAGCAGGATTATACTTTGCTAATCCAGCTCATATAGTGGGAATTAAACTTGAATTAAGAATAAAGAAGTTAAAAAGACGAGGAAGAACCTGTTGGGGAGCATTATAACCAGGTGGAACTCGAAACACATCACTGTTCAATGGCATATCAACATTAGAATTATACTTTCTCACATAATTACTGCTTATTCCACCATCACATAACCGAACTCTGCTACTCAAAATCAAGACTGTAAGTAAACACAGAAACCCAGTATAAACCCGCTTCATACCCATTTCTTTGATTTGAATTGAAGCTCAAATTTTTGTTTGATTGGTTATGTTTATGGTTTTAATTGAAATGGAGCTCCACGTATAGGCAAAAGTACCCACGGCTTTTATTTTACGTGGCGATAGTCTGATAATAATGTAAGCAGGTGGAAGGAATATTCAGTATTCGGTAGGAATATCTGGTGAGTTAACTATTTACTTGCCGCCATTGAATTATATGTCCTGAGTTTCCCATTCTCTTGATTTGCAGGATGGAAATAATATGCATTATAATTGCTTTTAATGGTAGATGGACTGAAGACTATAAATATCTTGATCATCAAACAAAGCTTGTTCTAGTACCTGAGGCAATTCAGTTTGAAGATTTCATTAAACAGATCTTTGAAGTTATTGAATTGGATACACACAAGTTTGAAGCAGTGATATGGTTTGATATCAACCTTGGAACAAGCAAGCGAATGCTTGTATCCAAAGATTTAGATCTTCACACATGTATAGAGTTACTAAAAAGTCATTCACTCTTCAAGGGCTGTCGTTTCATTGTTGATATTTCGGAAAGAGTTTTTGGATAAACAAGCAACGAACATGTCAACATAGAAACTAAACATGACAATCAAAACAAATGCCAAAAAATAATGGAAATAGATATGGTTGAAGCTCAAGCAATAACAGAAGAGGGGCTTCAAACGCGTGTCAACAGAGAAACTCAACATGACAATCAAAACAAATGTCAACAGATAATGGAAATAGATATGGTTGAAGCTCAACCAATAACTGAAGAGATGCTTCAAACATTTGATTCTATTCAAGTAGAAGGACAAAACATTATAGAGATTGACAACGAACAAGCTTTGGGTATTCAAGTCTTAGAGAGTGCACCGGTAATCGAAGAAGTTGCTGAAAAAAACTCTACTCAACTAACTAGACGAAGATCAAATTTGAAACAGAAAGAATCCCCAACTACGATATTAAGAGAAAATGCTTCGTTGGATGAAATAAAAGTGGGACCAGTATTTGACAAAAAGAAGAGTATAATTAACTGTTTTTCGAATATAGCAATTAAAGGACATTTTGAATTAAAGGTTGTTAGATCAAGCTCAACAAGATATTCGTTGAAATGCAATGATGATAGGTGTGGTTGGTGTGTGCGTGCTTTCAGGATTAAAAATTCAACATTGTTCAAGATAGTAAAGATTGAGAAAAAGCATGATTGCTTTGTTAACACTATGAAAGCTGATCAAAGGCATGCAACTTCAAAGTTGATTAGTGGTTACATTATCGACAATCTTTGAGACCCAAGGTTTGAAGTTACACCAGCTTTTGTCATGGCAGAGATGCAAAAATTGCATGGACTAGACATTGGATATCACAAGGCGTGGCATGCTATTCAACTTGCTTCCGCTTTAATAAGAGGAACTCCCGAAGAGAATTATGAATTATTGTCTTCATACTTGTATATGATGACAAGTAAAAGCTCGAGAACTTATACTGACATAAAGATAGACGACAACAACAGGTAAACAATCAAAAAAAAGTTTTTAGTACATTTTATAAAATTTAGGACATGCTGTTTTTAACCAGTTAACTTTTGAGTTGTAACCAGAAGTTCAGGACTTGTTGTCCTTAACTTTTGAATTTGTAATTCAAAGTTAAGGACTGCATGTCCTTAACTTTTGAACTTTGAACTCAAAGTTAAGGAATCCATGTCCTTAACTTTATAACTTGAAACTCTAAGTTAAGGACTGACTGTCCTTAACTTTTAACCTTGTAATCTGAAGTTCAGGACTACCTGTCCTAAACTTCAGTTAACCTTGTTTTATGTTGTATTTTCAGGTTTCTTTATATGTTTTATGCATATGGACCATCAATATCTGGTTGGAATCATTGTAGACCAATGATTGTTGTTGATGTCAAAATTTCGTGGTGTTTTAATGATTTCAGTTTCAAAGGATGCAAATAACCAGATTTTCCCACTAGCCTTTGGAATAACAGAATCTGAAAATAACAATTCCTATGAGTGGTACTTTAGTCAGCTTCGCAATGCAATTGGGAGCCGTGAGAATTTAATTTTTTTATCAGACAGGCATCAAGCTATTGCATATGGCATTGCAAAGATATATCCTGAAAGCCATCATGGGATTTGCATCTATCATTTGGAGCAGAACCTAAAGCGAAGGAAGGTGAAAAGTGCGGTCATAAAACTTTTCCAAAGTGCTGCAAGAGTATGCAGGCGCAAAGAATTTGATCTATACATGTCAGATATAGCAAAAGTAGATAAGAAGACTTATGACTACTTGATGGAAGAACCACCGGAAAGGTGGGCACGTTCTTGTAGTCCACGACGAAGATATGACATGCTCACAACAAACATAGTTGAGTCAATGAATTCTGTCCTATTAGAAGCAAGGGAGTTGCCTATATTAAGAATGATGGATTTCATTCAAGTGAAGCTACAACGTTGGTGTTATGAAAGAAGAAATGATGCAGAAGGAACTTTTTATGATGTTTCTTGTTGGGTAGAGGAGGAATTGAAGAAAAAAATAGATTTAGCATTTACTTTGAATGTAAGTATTATGTTCTATGTTTAGCTTATGATTTTAATATAATTTAACATAATGTACTAACTTATAAATTTTCAACATTGAAGGTGTTCCCTGCTGATTCATGGCGCTCTAGAGTTGAAGAAGAAGGAATAACTTTCTTGGTGGACTTAAACAAAAGAACATGTGATTGTTTTCAGTTTCAATTTGATGAATTACCATGCATACATGCAATTGCAGCTATCGAGAAGAGAAACATCAAGAAGTCCAACTTTTGTTCGCATTGGTACTTAAAGGAATCTTGGCTGAAAACATATGAAAGACAAATACATCCTGTAGGAGCTACCTCTGATTCTTGGATTGTACCAGAGAGTGTTAAGTCACAAATTGTTAAACCTCCAGATTTCAAAGTGCCACCAGGTAGAAGGCAGAAGAAAAGGCATATTCCAGCTACCGAGTCATCAAAAATAACATTCAAATGTGGTCGTTGCAGAAGAATTGGTCATAATAGAACAACTTGTATATATTCTCCGGCAGTCCATCCATTTTTAAGAAAGCATAGAGAATAGTAGATATATCCACTTATGTTTATCGACTCTTTTAAGTTTTTGCTATAAATTGGATTTATTTTGATTATTCTTATTTGAGCAAATGTCTGAATTTTCAAAATTTCTTTCTGCTTACCTTCTTTTTGTTTCTTTTGAGTTCAAAGATTAAAAGTTAAGGACAGGAGTCCGTAAGTTTGACTTGCAGGTTCAAAAGTTAAGGACAGGCAGTACTTAACTTTGAGTTTCAAGTTCAAAACTTAAGGAATGTCTGTCCTTAACTTTGAGTTACAGGTTCAAAAGTTAAGGACAGGCAGTCCTTAACTTATAGTTCAAAGTTCAAAAGTTAAGGACTGTCTGTCCTTAACCTTGAGTTTCAAGTTCAAAAGTTAAGGACAGGAGTCCTTAAGTTTGACTTGCATATTAAAAAGTTAAGGACAGACAGTCCTTAAGTTTGAATTACACGTTCAAAAGTTCAGGACAGGCAGTCCTTAACTTTGTGTTCAAAGTTCAAAAGTTAAGGACTGTATGTCCTTAACTTTGAGTTTCAAGTTCAAAAGTTAAGGACGGGAATCCTTAAGTTTGACTTGCAGGTTCAAAAGTTAAGGACAGCCAGTCCTTAAGTATGAATTACAGGTTCAAAAGTTAAGGACAGGCAGTCCTTAAGTTTGAATTACAGGTTCAAAAGTTAACGACAGGCAGTCCTTAACTTTGAATTCCAAGTTCAAAAGTTAAGGACATTTGATCCTTAACTTGGTCTTGAACTTACAGTACTTGTTNCCTTAACTTTGTGTTCAAAGTTCAAAAGTTAAGGACTGTCTGTCCTTAACTTTGAGTTTCAAGTTCAAAAGTTCAGGACTAGCAGTCCTTAACTTATAGTTCAAAGTTCAAAACTTAAGGATTGTCTGTCCTTATCTTTGAGTTTCAAGTTCTAAATTTAAGGATTGTTTGTCCTTAACTTTGAGTTTCAAGTTCAAAAGTTAAGGACAAGAGTCCTTAAGTTTGACTTGCAGGTTAAAAAGTTATGGACAAACAATCCTTAAGTTTGAATTACACGTTTAAAAGTTAAGGACAGACAGTCCTTAACTTTGAGTTCAAAGTTCAAAGGTTAAGGACTGTCTGTCCTTAACTTTTGTAGAGTTAAGGACAGGAGTCCTTAAGTTTGACATGCATGTTCAAAAGTTAAGGACAGGCAGTCCTTAAGTTTGAATTACACGTTCAAAAGTTCAGGACAGGCAGTCCTTAACTTTGTGTTCAAAGTTCAAAAGTTAAGGACACTTGGTCCTTAACTTTGAATTTGAAGTTCAATTACACTTAGTCATGAACTAATACTAACAAACTCAATGGACAAATCAACACTTGAGAGAAACAAAGAAATTAATAACATAGTGACTTGATATTACTTCTGAAATTGTAATTTTGGATAGCTGTGATAAAAAATTATGTTACGCAAACAAAATATAAGTTCCTTTTGAGGAATTTACAGAATATTTCGAAAGTTTTCTGAACTTGCAGAATTCATATGTATCCTTTACAGCAATTTTATACAAAAGATTAACCACAACTAACTTTCTTTACAAGTAAACTACAACTCCTTTGGACATCAAGTTTTATTTTCACTCTCATAATCATTGCTAACATTTTCTGGTGGAGTATCATTACCAGAATTTCTTTTCCATTCACCATGTGCCCAAAGATTTGCGGCAAGTTCTTTTCTAAAGTCTTTTATGTCTTCAGGTTGGAATTTCTCCACATCTTTTCCAATCATCAACAACTCCACATATTTGATCAGGAATGCACCATAATCAGTCCTAAAAAAAATGTAAGATATGTAGTGAATTAAACAATAAATCTAAAGTACATATAAATAATATAACAAATAACAACACATACTATCCAATTTGGTGTGGTGATCATTGCCACTGAATATCAAATTTGTTTAAGGCATTTCCAAAAGACTTGTGATGTTTGTCAAAATGTGAGAACTGTAGCAAGTGGGGGATCATGCGTGCATACATTTTCATGTGATTCATTCCTGCCTCATATGGCTCACTATATATGGAATCGTATACGTCAGTCTTTTTCTGATTCAAGTCCAATAACCCCATAAGTAAGTGTGTCACAGCATTATCATCTTCTGAAGGAAGCCGACATGGAAAAAAGATTTTATCAACCTCTGTCCAAGCAATTCCACATCTACGATTGTCCCCCCACACATATGGTATCAGAAACAATTGATTATCACCACACCAAAACTACATCTGTAGCATCTTCATTGAAATACCTTATACACAAGCACCATATAGTTATCAAAAAGAAATATCTGTAGTTGTGCAACGAAAAGGAATGGTCGCGAGGGTGATAGAATTCCTTCTTTCTTAGATAATATAGGGCAATGTCAATATGCTTCATAAAAAGGACGAAAAATAAAACAAATCCATCAGTCATAAAATAAATTAAATGATAGATAAATTAAGAATAAAGAAAATAAATGCCTTGTGAATTATCAAACCTTATCATCAAGTACAAAGCTACTATCTGAAAGCTCAAGGAAGAACATTTTGCTACTGATTTTTTGATGATACAATTTGTATGGATTCTTTCTCACACCATTATCATCAGCATATATATCAGTTTGTCCCCTGAAAATTTTGAAAATATCAAAGTTAGAAGTTAGTCCTGAGCTTAGCCTTTCAAGTTCAAAAGTTAAGGACACTTGGTCCTGAAGTTTGAGTTTCAAGTTCAAAAGTTAAGGACACTTGGTCCTGAAGTTTGATTTTCAAGTTCAACTGAAGTTTGAGTTTCAAGTTCAAAAGTTAAGGACACATGGTCCTGAACTTAGACTTACAAGTTCAAAAGTTCAGGACACTTTGTCCTTAACTTAGACTAACAAGTATAAAAGTTAAGGACAGACAGTCCTTAACTTATAGTTCCAACTTCAAAAGTTAAGGACACTTGGTCCTGAACATCAAGTTTCAAGTTCACACATGGTCCTGAACTTAGACTTTCAACTTCAAAAGTTAAGGACACATGGTCTTGGACTTTGACTTACAAGTTCAAAAGTTCATGACACTTGGTCCTAAACTTTGAATTCCAAGTTGAAAAGTTAAAGGACACTTGGTCCTAAACTTTGAATTCCAAGTTGAAAAGTTAAGGACACTTGATCCTTAACTTTGATTTTCAAATTCAAAAGTTAAGGACACTTGGTCCTAAACTTAGACATACAATCACAGAAGTTAAGGACACTTAAATTTAGCAATTTCAATATCAATTCCTAAATTTAGAATTACAAGTTAAGGACACGAATTTAAGCAATTAACAAATAATGACATACATTAAGGGACTTACTGTTTTTTGCGACCTTTCCTTTTCTCCTTGCCCAACCACACAATGAATTTCTTCAATAATTTTGCATCATCTTTGGCATAATGAGAAATACATCTACGAGTATATGTTGATTTTATCCAGCCCGAACTCTTGGGAGTATTTTCATTGTGCGCCATTGATGTTCCTGTTTTTCTTTCCTAATCAAAAGGAGATTTCAACTGCCAACTAACCTTCTTATTTCTTTTACCTCGACCAAGCTCTTCTTCAACATTTCCTTCAACCTCCATAGACAAACCCCCATCAATGCTCATTTGTGTACTTGGAGGAGTAGGAGTAAGAATAGAAAATGACAGACCATCATAACCAATACTATCTCTCTTTCTTTTTCTAGTATATTGGTTAAGAGCTTCATCATTGTTTTCCTCTGCAGACAACACTATATATATATATATATATATATATATATATAGNTAAGATCAACACTGTTCAAGATAGTAAAGATTGAGAAAAATCATGACTGCTCTGTTAAAACTATGAAAGGCTATCAAAGGCATGCAACTTCAAAGTTGATTAGTGGTTACATTATCGACAATCTTCGAGACCCAAGGTTTGAAGTTACACCAGCTTTTGTCATGGCAGAGATGCAAAAATTGCATGGACTAGACATTGGGTATCACAAGGCGTGGCGTGCTATTCAACTTGCTTCCGCTTTAATAAGAGGAACTCCTGATGAGAATTATGAATTATTGTCTTCATACTTGTATATGATGAGAAGTAACAACCCGGGAACATATACTAACATAAAGATAGACGACAACAACAGGTAAACAATCAAAAAAAAATTTATTAGTCCGTTTTATAAAATTTAGGACATGCTGTCTTTAACCAGTTAACTTTTGAGCTTGTAACCAGAAGTTCAGGACTGACTGTCCTTAACTTTTGAACTTGTAAGTCAAAGTTAAGGACTGCATGTCCTTAACTTTTGAACTTTGAACTAAAAGTTAAGGACTGCATGTCCTTAACTTTATAACTTGTAACTCTAAGTTAAGGACTGACTGTCCTTAACTTTTGACCTTGTAAGTCTAACTACAGGACTACTTGTCCTTAACTTTTGGCCTTGTAATCTGAAGTTCAGGACTACCTGTCCTTAACTTTTCTTAACCTTGTTTTATGCTGTATTTTCAGGTTTCTTTATATGTTTTATGCATATGGATCATCAATATCTGGTTGGAATCATTGTAGACCAGTGATTGCTATTGATGCAACTTTTTTGAAGTCAAAATTTCGTGGTGTTTTAATGATTTCAGTTTCAAAGGATGCAAATAACCAAATTTTCCCACTAGCCTTTGGAATAGCAGAATCTGAAAATAACAATTCCTATGAGTGGTACTTTAGTCAGCTTCGCAATGCAATTGGGAGTCGTGAGAATTTAATTTTTTTATCAGACAGGCATCAAGCTATTGCATATGGCATTGCAAAGGTTTATCCTGAAAGCCATCATGGGATTTGTATCTATCATTTGGAGCAGAACCTAAAGCGAAGGAAAGTGAAAAGTGAGGTCATAAAACTTTTTCAAAGTGCTGCAAGAGTATACAGGCGCAAAGAATTTGATCTATACATGTCAGATATAGCAAAAGTAGATAAGAAGTCTTATGAATACTTGATGGAAGAACCACCGGAAAGGTGGGCACGTTCTTGTAGTCCACGACGAAGATATGACATGCTCACAACAAACATAGTTGAGTCAATGAATTCTGTCCTATTTGAAGCAAGGGAGCTGCCTATATTAAGAATGATGGATTTCATTCAAGTGAAGCTACAACGTTGGTTTTATGAAAGAAGAAATGAAGCAGAAGAAACTTTTTATGATGTTTCTTGTTGGGTAGAGGAGGAATTGAAGAAAAATATAGACTTAGCATTTACTTTGAATGTAAGTATTATGTTCTATGTTTAGCTTATGATTTTAATATAATTTAACATAATGTACTAACTTATGATTTTTCAACATTGAAGGTCTTCCCTGTTGATTCATGGTCGTTNCCAATATCAGTGACGATATCAGTTTCATCATCTAGATGTGCATCTCTAAAATCGCTTTCATACTGAACTTCTGCATGCACATCCATATCATCACGTTCATCACCACCTGCATCTTTGTTAATTGTAACAGTAGGCTTTGTACCATGACAATGATCATCAACTCCATCTTTAGTAATTGGAATACTAGATTCTCTCTCTATGTTCCTTTCATCAGGTTTCACATAAATCTTCAACAAAGTATCAAGCTTTGATCCTAGACTTTTCTTTAAATCATGTGAAAGAAACCAAGTTAGAAAGTTAAGGACAGGTAGTCCTAAACTTCAAGTTACAAGTAAAGAAGATAAGGACAGGCAGTCCTTAACTTAGAGTAACAAATTCAAAAGTTAAGGACATGCAGTCTTTAACTTTGAATTCTAAGTTAAAAAGTTAAGGACACTTGGTCCTGAACTTCAAGTTTCAAATTGAAAAGTTAAGGACATTTGGTCCTGGACTTCAAGTTTCAAGTTCAAAATTTCAGGACATATGGTCCTGAACTTAGACTTACAAGTTCAAAAGTTAAGGACAGGAAGTCCTTAACTTTGAATTCCAAGTTCAAAAGTTAAGGACAATGGTCCTGAACTTCAAGTTTCAAGTTCAAAAGTTCAGGACATATGGTCCTAAACTTAGACTTACAAGTTCAAAAGTTAAAGACAATGGTCCTGAACTTCAAGGTTCAAGTTCAAAAGTTCAGGACATATGGTCCTGAACTTAGACTTACAAATTCAAAAGTTAAGGACAGGCAGTCCTTAACTTTGAGTTACAAGTTCAAAAGTTAAGGACACAAGGTCCTAAACTTAGAGTAACTGAAATTAATGATATTACCTTGATTTCATTCTCAATTTTTTTTTCTGATACAGATATTTTCTGATTTATTCTTGTAACTTCAGCATGCAGATCCTTTTTAAAACTCTCTGATAATCTCTGAATCAAAAACCATAAAAACAAAAAAGTCTCTTAAGCAAAAAATAATCAAATAAAAAACTAATGCTATTCAAAGACAGAAAACCTACTTTAACAATTTCCTTAAGCATGGCTTCATCAAATTGTGTGGAAGAAGGCATTGAGTAATGTTATAATTTCAAGTTGAACAGGCAGTCCTTAACTTATAATTTCAAGTTGAAAAGTTAAGGACACTTGGTCCTGAACTTCAACTTCAAGTTCCAAAGTTAAGGACACTTGGTCCTTAACTTCAAGTTTCAAGTTCAAAAGTTAAGGACACTCAGTCCTTAACTTTGAGTTCCAAGTTCAAAAGTTAATGTCGTTTGGTCCTTAACTTTTATGAACATAGTTAATTAAAAATTCATAAAACACATTTAACTTATGAATTCGTACGACTATTTTTATGAAATGTCCTTACATAATCAAATATATTGATTGAACCACAAACACATTTCAATACCAAAAATTTATGAATAACAGCCTCACAAAAATACGCTACTTCTCCGACACTGAATCAACTTATAATGATTATTTTTGAAATTTCACACATACTTGACACAGCATTGATCGCGATTACACATATACAAAAACAAAAATGCATAAAAGAAAAAAAAATTACCAGTTCGATCGTTCGATGCAGAGAAGATGACAGAGAAGATGAAGAAGGAGAAAGATTAACTGCAGCCGGTTTGCATGCGAGGACGATACAGATACTGAGGAGCACACGAAACTTGCCCTGAAATATTCGCTCTCAAATTTTCCCTCTTCTGAATGAATAAAACAAGGGTTTGGCAATATAAAAATTGAAGAAAGGGTAAAACTGCCCTTTTCCTATTAGTAGTGGCTACTTTTGCTGAGCATTATAATTAGTGGATAAAAAATAAAGACCACCTTACTTAGTGGCTACCACACGCCATTTTTACTCCATAAGTTTGTGAGATAAAATAAAAGATAAGTAATATACAAAGAAAAATATATTTTAAATTCAAAAATAAAAAATAACAACTAAAAATAAAAAGGAATTAAAATAATAGAAATGAAAAGTTATAAAGAAAATAAATTAAAATAAAATAAATAAGAAATAAAATATATGAGCAATTACATGGAATCACAAGAAGTAAAGGTAGAGAAATAAAAAAATAACTAATGTACAAAGAAAATATATTTTAAAATTAAAAAAGAAATTAATAACAACATACCCAGTATAATCCCACATAGTGAGGTCTGGAAAAAAGAAATTAAAAAGTAAAAATAAAATTAATAAAATGAAAAGAAATTAAACTAATGAAAATAAAAAGTTATCAAGAAAATAAATAAAAATAAAACCAAAAAGGAAAGAGATTAAAAAGTAACCTTGTAATTACACAGTGTAATTCAATCAATTCTCACCTCCCCCTTGAGAATTGAAGAGTATAATTACGCATCTCCAATTACACCTAATTCCATGCTAACAAAGTAATTACTTGGTCAAGCAAACACGCCAAACAGTGTAATTACACCCAATTACACCCAAATTCAATTCTTATGTGGCTTTCCAAACAGGCTCCTAATGTTAGTTGTGTGAGGCACACCATAAAACTTTTCGAATATGGGACTAGTTAAGCTGGAATTATTTCTTATTAGTTTGGTGTATCAATGCTACAAATTCTACCTTCTCCCAAGAAGCATATAATTTTTTCTAAGAAAAATATATCCTTATAATAATTTATATTTTTCAAATTAACTTACACTCTTTTTCCCGGGATACCGTCCCGTAGTCCAACTATCAATGTACAGGGGGATCTATCGGGAATCTAACCCGCAGTCCCAAAGTAAATGTACAGGGGGATCTATCGGGAATCTAACCCGCAGTCCCAGAGTAAACAAACAAGGGGGGGAGCTACCGGAATCCCACACCCGTAGTCCCAATGTAAATGCACAACCACAACCAGAAGATATTCAAAAATGAAGTACAAAAGCAAACATCAGGTAGTACTAGCCTAGCATGCTTCACGTAGTACAGTCAAGGCAACTTAAACAATTAGGCAAGTTAAATCAACTAAACATGCTTTTCTAATCTAACACAGGTTATAACTGCAAGTAAAACAAGGCAAATATGAAGGAAACTCAGTCTCAATATCTTAAGTAAAAACCGGATTTTTCAACAATTAGCTCAAGTACGCGCTCGTCACCTCACGTACAAGGCACTCAATTACCACATATCATATCCTAAGGGGAAAGGTCCCCCACACAAGGTTAGACAAGCCACTTACCTCGAATCGGAACCAAAATCAACTCGAAATCACACTTTTGCCACGAGTATCCGACTCCAAATGGCCCAAATCTATTCAATTCAATTACATATCGTAAGTAATATTGCAAACAACTGATTCCACTATCAAATTTAAAGCTAGGACGCGAAAATAGGTAAAATGACCAAAACACCCCTCAGGCCAACGTCTCGGTATCGAATAATTTTTACATTTTCAGAACCCTCGTACTCTCACGAGTCTAACCATATAAAAATCTCCCAAATCGGAGGTCAAATGCCCCCTCAAAACCCAATAGTTTGGTGTATGAAGTTTTACCCCAAATTAACCAACTTTTGATCCTAAATTCGAATTCCAATGATGTATTTAGCTATATAATGATGAAATATAATAAAAAGGGATCAAGGAAACGTTACCCAATGATTTTCTCTTCAAAACCCACTCAAAATCGCCTTCTCCCGAGCTCTCAATCGATTTTCAAACTTATGAAATTTAACCCTCGAAATTGATATTTCTGAACAGTCATTTCCGCTTCTGCGGACAAGGGACCGCTTCTGCGGACCACGAGCCGCTTCTGCGGTTTTCATTAAAAATCCAGGGTTCCGCTTCTGCGGTCTTAAACCGCACCTGCGGTTGCCGCTTCTGCGAAATACTTACCGCTTCTGAGGTTTCTCACAAAAGACTCAGGGCCGCATCTGCGATAGAAGCCTTGCAGGTGCGTAACCGCATCTGCGGTAGATCCTCCGCACCTGCGGAAAAAGCTGAGGGAGCCCAAATTCGCTCCTGCGATGCTAAGGCCGCTTCTGTGGCTCCGCACCTGCGGAACCCAAACCGCAGGTGCGGTTATGACAGATACCAGCAGGTCTTCAGCAACTCATCAACTTCAAAACCTTTCGTCACCCATCTGAATTCATCCCGAGGCCCCCGGGACCTCAACCAAAAGTACCAATAACACCTAATACCTCATTCAAACTTGTACCAATCCTTAAACCACCTAAAACAACACCGGAAACCCGATTTAAATCAATGATTCAAGCCTAAGAACTTCAAATTTCTTCCAAATACGCTTTCGATCAAAAACCTAACCAGAACACGTCCGAATGACCTGAAATTTTGCACACCCATCCCAAATGACATGACGGAGCTATTGCAACTTTCGGAATTCCATTCCGACCCTCGGATCAAAAACTCACTATCGGGCCGGAAACTTCAAAAATACAAACTTCGGCATTTCAAGCCTAAATGAGCTACGGACTTCCAAAATACATTCCGATCACGCTCCCAATCCCGAAATCACCTAACAGAGCTAACGGGGCCGTCGGATTTCCATTCCGAGGTCGTCTTCACATTGTTCCGACTACGGACCACTTTTCCACACTTAAGCTCTCATTTAGGGACTAAGTGTCCCAAAACACTCCGAATCCTAACACCGAACGTCCCGGCAAACCAAATAGCAGAAATGAACTTAGGGGAAGCAGTTAATGGGGGATCGGGGCGTAAATTCCAAAAACGACCGGCCGGGTCGTTACACACTATTATCTATAAAGGTGTACGCAAACGTGTGGAGAGAGAAAGATTCGAATTCAAGATCTTCAAAATGATCAGAGTATTGGACTTGAGAAAGTTATACTTTGATAATGGTATTCCGATCCAACTTCAGTATTTGATTTAGTGCATCTAAGGTATC